CCAACGACAGATGATAAGGCCTTTCGTCTTTTGATCATCTAGGATACTTTTTTATGAGAAATAGGTTTCCCCTAAATACAGCAAACCGAGTCAAGAGTGAGATAAGAAAACCCGGAGCTTGATCATAACTACAAGTCGAGACAATACAAAAGCCCAAGCAAAAAGATAGGAAAAGGGTCCGGTTCCCGGGAGTGCCTGTCCGGTTCGGTTCCTAAAAGTGGAACTGGGGTCTGGGCAGTCCAATTCCCGATTCCAAAGGGGATCCGAACCGAACTAATCAGACTGGACCGACTATATATATTTTACTTTCTTCATAAAATTACGTAAAGTAAAGTGAAATCTTAAGTGAAATTTAGTCCTCCCAAAAATTTCCAAAAGTTACATTGTTTTCAGTAGTAACACGAACAAATTTAACTTGTCTATAAGCTATTCTCACTAGAACAATTACTACAAAATTACAATACTTTCGGACTGATTTCAAAGAGGGAAAAGGTACATACCTAGCCGTTATAAGCAGGAAGAAACTTGATGTGAACATAAATTGCAACAGTTATTCTAAGTTATGTACAATAAGTGACCGGTTCCCGGTCCCAAAGTGATCTGGTCTGGTCCCCGGTTCCAGAAACCGGGAACTGGTCCTCCTATGCACAACTAGTGCTTGTTGCACAACTAATAATGCTGTGTCTCTGGAAGTAAAACCTGTCTATTATTGTTTTGTTTGTCGACATTCGAGTGCAAGTTCCAGGTTTGGTAAGCTTGTTAGGGCGTTGGCAGATGATATGCACAGTCAACATTGTGATTATCTCTACGGCAATGAATCATTCATCAACGAAAGAGGAGAGATTTGTGTCTGTGGAGACATACGTGATATTCATGAACTAACACACTTAAAATGTGCCTGCTGATTGTGCATTGTTCAAGCTTAATGCGATGATTGATGTTGCGGATACCTACAAAGGACGATATGTTTTGCTAGGGTAGCTCCAGATATGCAAATGTGAACGTTAATCATGAAATCTTTCTGCTTGGATTTTTGCTTTGGATAGTTATCTTTCCCTGTATAGCTTGAGATGCATATACTCGTGAATATTCATCGTCTCTCTCTCGGAAATCGTATACAGTGGTATTTCCTTGCTGTGAGGCCTTTCCTTATTTGCATAAATAACTGCAATCATGGCTAAACATCAACCAGAATTAAGTTCAGTAGAAAGGAAACTCGGATCAACTCCCCGTCTGAAGATGATTTAGAAGGGAACGAAGCACCGATGGGCCGACACGGGGAGGTACCCTGCTCCGACGGATGCCTCAACAAGATTGTTCATGGCGTGTCCAACCTCCCTTGATTTACATGAGATCTCGTTCTGGTTCTGGGAGTTGGAGCACCGTGTCACGTTACGTCTTTCTTGTCTGAGATTTCATGCAAGATGACGCGAAAGCGTGAGAAAATCGACATGAGTAGGTCCGAACCGCACTGCATCGTCATGGTCACAGCTGGAAGGACCCCATCGTGTTTGTTGAAGTGAGAAGTCGTCTTAATTCGCGTCGACAGGTGTCAGCGTCTTATGTTTTTCAATAGTCCTTAAGCACAAGCTATAAATGTTCATCCACGAATTGGAAACCTAATCTATGTATTGGTGGTGTTGGAGATGGAAATGGGGAATGGGATGGCTACCTTAAAGGTAGGTTAAAGTGGATCATTTGGGTTCTTGTAGGTGATTTGATGCTTGTCATTTTTGCGTTCTGCATGTTACGCACTAAGTACCTGCAGCGGACCCTTGGACTAGCTTAGTGGTTATCGAACGGACTTGTGTATCGACCAAGTGGACGATACCGTTTTATTTATTATGTTGCCGGGTATAAATATTTTTATGTTTGAGTTATCCACCTAGAGTTTTTCTTCACACCTTACTCGGTCAGGAACTTATTTTATGAATCACGTAGAAGAGTCTCTCTCGTTTGATGTGCAATTCTAGGGTGTTATGAGGTCTCCCGCTTAAAAAAGTCGGCTTCACCGTCAATTTTGGCTTATCCGCTCATTGATATTCCTCCTATTTAATTGGTTATTCGATCCATTTTTACTTTCCTTACCATTCTAGAAGCTTGATAGGAGTCATACCTTGTCCGAGCCCTCTCGTTGTATACATCATTCCCTGCCCATGTCTAATTTGATACAAGTCCAATCTGCTCTGGAACTACACATCTATTTAAAAGTTGTCACTTTGATATCATCTTCGAAGACCCAATTCGTTCCATCGCCGGCCGATACCTTAAAAGAGGTCTATGTCTACTTGAGGTGTCGAACAAACACCAGTGAGGATTGCTTGTGAGATAGTACTAATCCTATTAGCAAGCAAAACATTAAAGGGTAATACCATAAAAAACCTCGAACTACGCCCATTGTGACACAAATGCCTTTTATGTTTTTTTGTGTCACCAAAAATCATAAACTTTCCCACCGTTACACAAATGCCCCTATGTTTTTTTGTGTCACTAAAAAACCTTAACTTATATATGTGTAACATATATACCCTTTATTCAATTTTATCCAAGGTATATTTGCGATAACGGTATAAGTTCGGGGTTTTTTATAACACAAAAAAAAGTTTGGGTATTTATGTCACAATAGGTAAATTTAAAGTTTTTAGCGACACAAAGAAAATTCGGGGTATTTACGGTGTAGTGGACACAATTTTAGATTTTTTGTGATATTAATTCAAGAGGAGGACAAATGAAATCGGGTTCGCTTCTAGAAGGGAAAAAAAACGATCTCCTTGAATGATCGGTCAGGATGTGCCTAGGAAAAGGAAGATCTGGCATATTTCAGATAGAGACGTGGTCGATCGTGGCACGTTCCGGCAATTAAAAGGCAAAAAAGCAATCTAATCCAATCCAAAGGGGGGGCTACCCTAATTTCCGTGCACGTTTGTTAGTGCACCTGTAAATCTTGATCCAAAAACCGCAACTTCTTCTTTAGCTCCCACAATCTTACTTCTTCTAAGCATAATCAAATTTTACTTTCTCCTCTAAAAATTGTATCTTCTCTTGCACACCCAGAAAAAAAGCGGGTACCCAATACTTCCGATTTGGTGAAATTAGTCTCTGTACTTTATGTTCGAAATAGTCTCCATCCATTTTTCTGGGAGAATTAGATGACATAGTTCCGTAATATCCCAAGGAAAGTTGAATGAATAGATGGATTGCATTTTTCCCATTATGCAATTTACATAGACTGATGCAGCAGCCAACGAGTACAAAATTGGTTTTACTCGTGGTAGATGTCTAGATAAGTCACCCTAGAAAATTCGGCCACGACGAAGGATAATGAAAGAAGAGAGGTAGAAACAAGACTATATGTAAAGGTAAAGAATCGAATCTCACATTTGTGGCCATGGCTAGTCTTTTGTGTTATAGCCTAGATGTTTTGCCTTAGAGTATGAGAAGACCATTCTCTTCTTTATTCACACCGTTTACTTTAGTTCAATCTATCGTGGCATTGGCAACACCAGCATTCCTATTCACATGTCAAACCCACGGTGCACATCCTCATCTCCAGTGGTGCTCCAATCTACTGCTGCGAGTGAGAAATCGATCAGAGAAAAAAAGGGGAAAATTTGGAGAAGATTGAAAAAGGGGAAATCAGTCAATCGGAGTGGCTCCAAAATTAGACAAGAAAAAGAAGGACGCGGTAGAAAAAATTTAGGATTAATACTACAAAAAACCCTAAATTGGTATACTTGTGATAAATTTGTTCATAATTAATTTTTTTACCACAAAAAACCCTAAACTGATATACCTGTGACAAATTTATCCAAAATCAATTTTTTAACCATCAAAAACCCCAAACTTATACATTTATGATAAATTTACCCTTCGTTAAATTAGATTAATATCACGAAAAATCACAAACTCATAAATCTGTGACAAACTGAGGCCTAAAACTTAAATTGATACACCCGTTAATTATCACGTGTTATTTAACCCAATAATTTAATAATAAAATTTAACAGAAATTAATAAATGATAATTTTTTTATAAATATATCAGTTTAAGGTTTTTATGATTTTAATCCAAAAATTTAAAGGGTGAGGGGGGTGGAAAGTTGCGGAAATGGGATGTTTTGGAATTGTTGATTAGTAAAATGGAGGGTGGATGATGAAAACTTTTAAGGCTTTGCAGGACAGATGTCGGAAAAAGGAGAAAAAAGTGAGGGTCAAAAAGATAAAGAACCCCCTAATCTCCTCGGATAGAGAAGGCTGGGTCGGTCACGTCTCATCGATAATTATTTTGCCCTCTTCTCTTCTAGAAGACCTTGGCTTCATGCATTGAAATGCTTTCGCACATACGCATTCATCATTGGCCTCTAGTTAGATTTCATCTAGAAGGTTGGTGGGCTCGACCTCGTATGATCTGTGTCTCTCTATCCTCCCAACATCTGATTCTCCTCGTAATAAATTACCTGGAAAATATGAATGAAATTGTTCTTAACCCTCAAGCTGGTCATCGCCGAGCATTTGATTTGGACGGGATGGATTTTGTGTTCGAATTGCAGCGTTCTCATTTGAAATTTGTGCTCGCCGTTTCATGGATAGAGTCTTGCCTTTCCCAATTTATGTCAATTTGTGCAAATAAATCGAATTAAACATTCATGTTAGAAGACTCTTTTTATCTCGCGGAAATTCAATAATTTATAAACATTTTTACAGGATTCGATCTTTTCATTACCAAGGAATGTATTCAGGCATAGATTAGTTGTTATTATGAAAGAAAAATTCGATTGACGTACTATAAGCAATATAGATGGTCCAAGTTATGAAATTCTTTTCTAAAAGGGGGTTGATTTTCCCTAAAAGAGTGGAGTCTAGAATAGGTAGTTTATTCTTTGCATTGGAGGCCGCCCACCACGTAATACAGAGTGTGAAACAAGAAACAGGGACAGCCCACGTTCTATCCACACAAAAGATCCCAGGTTGACACTATAAATACAAAGTTCCATGCGACAAAGACGAGATTTTCCAAGAAAAACTTGCCCACTGGATCACTTTCTAAAGAGAGAGACAGATAGGGTCGGGCTTTGGGAAAAAGAAAAGCACGACAAGATGGAGAGAAAGAACATGGTCGTCGACGTCTCACCTTTCTTGTTCATCGAAGCCACCGGCGACTCGGAGGAGGTTGACTCCGATCCGGCCACAACGCGCGATCCTGGCCTCACTAGCAGCACGGCATACGACGGCAGTGATGGCAACGGCGGCGGCGGCGATGGTGGCCACGACGAGGACTCGGAATCTTGTAGCAGCGAGTGGTCTTCTTACGAGCCCTATAATAACCACGATGTCCGAGATTTAGACTGCGGCGACACCAAAGCATGTGACGGCGCAGACGAGAGCGATCGGTGGCAGTGGATTGGCAAAACAGGGAAAAATGAACGTGTTAAGCAGCGACGGTGGCTGGAAGCCGAGGAGCCGTGTGTTTCGGAGGAAATCAATAGTTTTGACGACGACAAGGAGATTAGCAAGAAGCCTAGTGGAATCGTGTCAAGCGAAGTGCATCTGAGTGAGATGGAGAAGAGTAGGTTGTTTTGGGAGGCTTGCCTAGCATCATAACTTCGATTTACCCATTTTTCCCCTGACTGTCTCCTGGTATTTGATGTTCCTATTTTTGTTTAGTAGGGTTTGATTGTCTCCTAGTTTTTATAGCTTGGAATTGTGCATGGGGACCAATATAGGAGCTTTTTCTGACGCTATAATAGCTTTCCTTGCTGGGAAATACGTATAGTTGACGGCTCTTGATGTGGCATATCCTGTTTAATCTTCCTTTAACGCTTAGTAATTCTTTTTGCATGTTTCTGCTAAGCAAGTGAGAAATGCAAGGTGGATTATATTCAATTGTTTCACAAATTTTGCATATGAGTCGAGCTTGTTTCTCTATTAACGAATCGAACAAATGAAACTGCTGCAAATTGTTAAAGCCCTCGCAACAAAGAGAAAAACCCAATTGCAACCTTCTCTGACTTTCTCAACATCATCAACGACATAGGAATCAGAGTACATTCCCTTTATCGTTAATCACCACAACCTTAGCCAACAACAACTGCAATTGGCGACGACTGAGGGATCGCTTCATGACACGCTTAACCCTTATTGATTCATGAAGATCGCTTCCTTGAGCATGAGGACTTAGTTGACCTTACTACAGGCTTTCCTGAGCACCCCAGATTTCCCAGTGAGGACGCCGATCTCCCCCCTCATCCTCTTGATCGACTTCCTGAAATCTCCAAAGAACTCAGAGCGAGCTGAGCATCTCCCGCGCGATCCCGGCCGAGGTGGGGTTCATGAGCAGCGCGGTGGATTCAAAGAGGCCCATGTGCTGTTTGAGGATGACGTAGTAGTTATTGTTGAAACTAGAGGGCTGAGTGGCTCCGTCGGCACGAAAGCGGTGTCGTCAGTTAGGGTTTTGCACATTTTCTCCTTCAAGAAGGCAGCGTAGGTGGAGTTCAAGGACGGCTGTTGGTCGCCTTTTCCGGAGAAATTGTGGAGCCTTATCCTGAAAGCATTGCGGCGTCCTACCCCACTCACAAAGTATTATTTTTCATCTAGAACAAATAAATAAGAGAACGCGCGAATACGCTTGATATGTACATGGTGAGCCTATTTTCGGGGCAATTTAAGTTTGTCGCGACTTACCTCCGATTTTCAAAGGGAAAAGGGGGGTCTCGTCTGGTAAGCGTTAAGTTTAGGTCTGGGACTTAACTCGGTCTCTCCCAAGCCCATACCATATCACGACTTATGGTTTAGATTTTTTTTAACCTACAAGTGATTTTTATCTAGGAGTCGCTACTAATCGGTTTGGAGTGAGTCGTTTAGAAATCTAAGTAAGGTGACTGGAAAATCACCCTACTCCTAAGAACCAGAGATTAAATGAGTTCGGAGACTTGGTTACACTAGTTGGGTGACTAGTGCCCTTTTGGTACCTTTTTACCCTGTTCATTTCAGAAAATATTTGTCAGGCAATTTTGATTGATTTTATGCCCTATCTCCTAACATGTGAAATGATTAAACGAGTGCACAATCATTAACGATTAGCAGTCAAGATAAATATGCAGTCTAGGTTTCTAACCCTAACTAAGGCAACAACATTCAAATCATGACAATTTATGCAATTATATTCTAATTAGAAATAACATGTAGAATAATAATACAATAATGGTAAAAATAACACACGAAAATCCTACCATATAGCCCTATAGGCTTATCCGATTTAAACATGATTATTAATCAAATAATTCACATAATTTAGAAAAATATTCAAAAGTACTAATTTCTAAACTATTTCCTAATTTTAAAAGAAATATATAAAAAAAAGATTTTTTTATATATTTTTTTAGAAATAATACTAATAATAAACACGATTTAAAAAATATTTTTTTTTAAAGAAATAATTTTTAATTTAAATAATAAAATATTAATTTAATAATCAACCGCGTCGGGTCGGCGGACCCGGATCGGGTTAAATCCGACCCAGGTCAACGGATTCGACCCAAAGCGTTGACCTGGAACGGATCTTCAAATCCAAACCGGGTCAGGAGTCAACCCGGGTGGTTGACCCGGGTCCTGAACTGAGTTGGGTCGGCTCCCGCATGCTTTTGCACACGGGGTCACCGGCCGAGGGAGATTTGGCCTTGGTAGGCCGGCTCCGACCTGGTTTTCACCCCTAAGGACCACCACAAAGCCCCCACAGCTACCTAGTTCGCTGTCCGACCACCCACTTGTTGGCCAGCGACCAAAACCAAATCAGCCTCATTGAGGCATTTCACAAACACCTGGTGTGCACAGCTAAAACGAAACAACTTTGACCTGTTTCGAGGCTCTAGCGTCCTCTAGCGACTTGGGCTTACCTTTGGCGACGACGTATAGGCTACGGGGAACAACGAGATGGGCCGGGATTCGTGCAAAATGGCCGGCGCGAGTCCTGGCTAAACCACACACAAAAACAAGGGGAAAATAGGGTAGTTGATGAGACCGGGAAGTCTCACCGGTCGACGACGCATCTAGGGGGTTTCTGGCTGATCTGCGGGCGACGGTGAGGCTATTGGTTCCCTTCTTGCGACCTATGAACCCTCGATACGCTCTCTTTCTCTCTGTTCTCTCTGTTCTCTCTACTTCGATTTTCTATTCAAAGGGACCGACCCTTTCTCTCTCAACATCGCCGGCTTATATGGCCGACGCCGGCCACTCACCTCTACTCCCATCTCCTCCATTAATAGCCTACACCGGCCTAGACCTACCGAGGACTATTGTGGCCCGTTTAGGCCGGTGCAGGGGGTCTGTTTTGGCTCGGGGGAGAGAGAGGAAGGAGGAGAGAGGAGAGACCGGGAAAGGAGGAAGGAGGGGACTGGCCATCAATGCGAGCCCCCTTGCCGTGTTTCCCTATCCATCTTCTGCTTAAGGGGGTAGCGATGGTCACTCCATCGTCCATTGTTCGACGATCAAGAACAAGGCAGAACAGAGGAGGGGAAAAGGAGAGAGAGAGGTTGGGCTCGCTCGCGGGGGGAAGAAAAAAGGGGGCCGGAATGGGTCGAGCCGGCTCCTGCATGGGAGAAAGAAAAATGCCGGGATAGGCTGGGTCGAGCCCAGTCCCACACGAGAAGGAGAAGAGAGGGCCAGGTCGGACCGGTCCTGACCCGGCCCCATCAAATTTTAATTTTTTAAATTTTTTTTGAAAATTAATTAAGAAAATATGCTCTAATAGGCCCTATTAATGCAAATGTGCCTAATGTCTACATGCAATGCAATTAGAAATAATAATTTTTTTTGGTTTAGGAATTAAGGACATTAACCCCTAAATTTTGCAAAATTAATTTTGGGCAAACTTAAAATAGGTGTCAACAAAGTTCTTGGGATAAATTAGCGGCTTTCTAACATAGTAGCAGAGTCAATTCATGAGCTACAATGTGAGGTTCTCTCTTTTCTGGTTATCGTGTCTCTGTTCTCTAATCTGGTTGTTGATTTGATGCGGCTATTTGCTTATAGCTATTGTGATCCATGTGTGAAGCCCGACTTTCGTACGTGTTCCATCTGGAATTTTTTGAGAACAATGTTTTTTCATGAGAGCTAGTAAGGAAATTATTTTGCCTGATAAAACAACGAGGTCACACACGCTTAGGCCTATATTGGCGAAATTCTATTACTCGGTGCCGCCATCATCGTTCTCTTAATCTAAACATGTTCTCAACTGGAATGTATCGCTTGCTGTTGTAAGACCAACCATGATAACAAGCACATATGGAGAACCTTTCGCTGGTTGATTCGAGGGTTTCTTTTTCATATTATCCTTCTCAAATTTCCCTTTCGCTCACACATTCACATAAATTCATTTTCGGAGAACTAAACGGGTGAAAATCCGAAAAACACTTTCACCGAAACAAACACACCCTTAATGTCAATTAGTTGGTTCCTAGTTGTCATTACTCATGCCGTGAGGTGGTTGGCCTTTCAGTTAATTGTATTAGCTTTATTAGTTAGCTTAGTATTATTATAAGGACCCACGTTAAGGTGGATGGGGGGGAGAGATTGATGGGATTTTGATTATCAAATAATTGATGCACAATTGCATTGCATTAATTAAACACCACAGAGTCTCACCACTTTTTTCCTTGAGGAAAACTTGGTTGATTATTAAAGTTCTCAAATAATTGATCTAGGTTTCAGTCGAGTAATTAATCATAAAATCAATTTACGGCCTGTGATGATTGGACTGCTACGTCAGCGATTTCCGGCGAAAATTAATCAGATGACTACATTGGAATTTCGCACTAAATTTTAGGACCAAATTAGCAAAATTGAAAGTTTATGACTGAATTGGCATTTATACAATAGGTTTAGAGCTGATTGGGTAATTTTCCCTAAATTTGTTGTTTGGACTAGTATCGCGTCTCCATCGTGGGATTGGAACACATATCTATCTAACTAACTCCATGCTACATCAACCAGTGACGGTGTTAGAATAATTAGATTTTTTCTTTTTCTTTTTCTTTTTCTTTTTCTTTTTTCCTTTTCTTTTTTCTTCCCCATAGTGGCTGGCAAGGCTTGTTGGCCACTGGGCAAGGGCCGCGAAGCCCTCATCGATAGCGACCCCTCGCCCGCAGCCAGGCCTCGTGATCTGAGCGTGTGGCTAACCTTGCCAACTAAGGGCGAGGCCGCCTTCGCCGGCGGCTGACGAGGCCATGGCGAGCTGGCCTTGCTCATGGCCCCCAAGCCTCGCCTAATAGCTGGCGAGCCTCACTGGCCATTGTGGGAACAAAAAAAAAGAAAGAAGAAAGAAAAGAAAAAAAAATATTATTAAAGATTATCCACGTCAGTATCGGCCATGCCTCGTAGGACAACCAGCATCGACTAGCGTCCACGCCAGTGTCGGCCGGTCAAAATTGGCCTGATAGACTGAATTTGCACAAATTTAGAAGGTTTAGGACTGAATTGGTAAAAATAAAAAGTGTAGGACTAAATTAGTACAATAGCAATAAGTTTGAGACTTTTTTGGTCATTTTCCCAACAAATGGGTGATGCTGGGCCCGACCCAAATCATCGCAGGCCGGGCTGCAATGGCTAGTTTGACTCGAAATGAATATTGCGAAGGCTAGTAGAAAGTCAACAGCGTTCCAATGTCACATGTATGTATATATGATTCAATGGTAATACACTTGTTAAAATATGCTTTATGCACTATGACTGCTTTTGAGTCAAAAGTGGAAAAGTGGAATAGTGTGTCATTCTACTAGAGAATTTCTCCGAAGAAATTAGGAGCAAATGGATGCAAATGATCATGCCACAAAAAGGAAAGTTTTCCATCGGCAATAAGATGGTTTTTATATAAAGAGTCCGGCAATGCTCTTCAAGTCTTCGAATTCTTTCTCCAAGTAAGAGAAGCATTAGATGGAACAGTTAAGAGTCCAAGAGTATTTATCCTTCAATTTGTCGCAATTTAGCCACAAAACCCCAAATAAAAACAGCTTGACCATAGACCAACCAAATATAGTGTGGATAACATAAGTTCTAATCCATCATATAATCCTTTTGAGACCAAAGTATTTCGTCAGAAATCCCGGAATAGAAATACCTCTGTTTCAGTTTATTAATGCTTGAACGAGACAGCTTTGGAACCAGCTAAAGATAAACGGAACTTGTGAAGAATGTACATCGCCATTCATAAACATCACGAGGTCATCAGCAAAGCCTAAGTGTGTGAGGTGAATTTCGCAACAAAAAGTCTTAAACTTCAGGCTCCCTTCGTTAGCAGCTGCTCTAACAACCTCGATAGGACCTTAAATAGCCATCACCAACAAACAAGGCAAGATAAAGTCATCTTGCCGAAGACCCTCTTTTTTTTTTCTTTTCTTTTTAATGATCTAGAGGCGCAAGTGTGGAGGTCCGACTACTTGGAGGGCTATGAAACATCCTGCAATCTCTACCAGTTAAGTCCTAGCCTTTAGTCTATAGAAATGACTCTAGCCCACGAACAGTTTACACGCAATTGATGAGATCGAAAGAGGGACTACCGGTTATTGAGTTGAAAACCCTCTTAACGCCTCAACCAATTGCACAAACCTAGGGTTCCCTTTTTCCAAGAGAATTACTCGCTAAATCATTATTCCTACTGACTGAGACTTTGGAAGTTAGTGGTATTTGAGGAGCTCCAGTGGCATGGTAAATTAACGTGTCGACTTTGCTTCTTTCAATTCTGCTCGGTGTCAGAGGATTCATTAGCACGAAGGTCATAGCCAACAATGCAGGAAAAGTGTCAAAAAAAAAAAAGTCTACCAATTTAATCCTAAATTTTTTTTATATTAATTAAGTTCTAAATATTTTGTCTACGTATCAATTCAGTCTTTCCGGCTAATTTTGACCAGATATTACTAACGTGGATATCGATCGGCCTACATAGCACCGCCAATGCTAATATGGATAATTTTTAATAATATTTTAATTTTTTATTATTTTTTTCTTTATTTCTTTCTTTTTCTTTTCTTTTTTCCTCTTCTCCCTCCTTGCTCTAGCCGATCGCCGGACCAGTGACTAGCCAAAGGCCAAACCTCGCCAGCCTCTGGCAAGCCAAGCCAACCACTGGCGAAGCTCGCCGGATGGCCACGAGGGCGACCTCACTCCTGGTCGGCGAGGCTTGCCCTCACCAATGACGGCGAAGGTGAGCCTCACCATAGCTGGGCAAGGTTCGACCTCGCCAGCGGCTGGGCAAGGCTTGCCTTCGTCATCTCTGGCAAGGGCGGCCTCGTGCTAGGCTAGCAAGGCTAGTCCTCGTGGCCATCCGACTAGGGTGCCCTAGCTGGTCACCGGTCTGACAATCGGCTGGAGTAAGGAGGGAGAAGAGGAAAACAAAAGAAAAAGAAAGAAAAAATCAAAAAATATTAAAATACTATTAATAGTTGTCCACATTAGCACCGGAGGAGCCACATAGGCCTACTGGTGAGGGCGAATTGGCACAAAGACAATATGTTTAGAACTCAATTGACACAAAAAAAATGGTTTATGACTAAATTAGTACAAATGCAAAAAGTTTAGGACTTTTCTAACACTTTTCCGAACAATGCCGTCCTCCTTAGTCAGAGTGAGCATTGAAGGGCTTGATTCTAACCATACCATGTACATGGTAGTCATTTGGATACGCTGAATAGTATGATATTAACTAAATTATGAGCGTGGTAGTCATTAGGATGTGCTGAATAGTTTGATCCTAACTTAAATCGTCTACATACGAGTCATTTGGATGCATCATCACTTGTGCATACTAAATGAAATTTCACTCGTTGACTGCTATCGCAGCTTTGTTCGCATCTGCATAATTGTTCAATTCAATCGACGGACTCCTTTAACAAACGAGTGTAGCTCCGGAGAGATATTTATCCATGCTACAGCTCAAAGAAAAACGTCGTTTACATGGGACAAATGCAGTTATAAATTATTAGAAGAGCAAAATCATGTGCAACTAACTTTGCAATAAAACTAACATTTCAGTTGAGCTTCCTCCTAGTTCACTTCATCACACCACAAGCAATTTGCTACCTTTAGTGATCTGCATAAACATTAGAAGTAAACCCGCAGGCTAGCAATTGCACGTGCAGTACCCGTGCAAAAGCGGTCCTTGTAACTAGTTATATATGAGTAAAGGCCTTTCGTAGTACTATTTATTTCGTTCGCACGTGCTCGATTCGAGGTGTTTTTAGATGATCTTTGCCATGTTATGCACATGCTTGGTAAATCTGAATTCGGATCACGTATCTTAAATTAACTTGATGGATGTTTATGAAAAAAGATTAACATGTCAAATTATCATATTACGTATAGTGGAGTCAGAAGTTTTTGCTGGGTCTTTCTTTCTATAATTTGGTTGTAGAAGCTTTTTGCAATGTTCTAAGGCTGAAGCTGTTGCTCTGAACTCACGCTCTCCTGCCGTCGCTCTCTCTTAAACTCTGTTTTTGTTCAAATCCACCGCTCCGCTTCACTTCACTCTCTCTGTCTCGGTCCCTCTCTTACTCTGTTTCTAACTCTTGCTTCACTTCACTTTCTCTGTAAGTTTCAAGACCCGATTGCTCTTTCGTAACAAGTTTTAGGACTTGATTATACTTTTTAAAAGTTTTAAAACGAAATCGCATTTTCGTGACAAATTTTAAAACTTCCAATACATTAATCTCAAAAATTAATAAACACAAAACATGCCCTCACTATATTATATGGCAACTCACACTATAAAGGAGTTTCCACCCGAGGAGGGCTATGCTAGAAAGCTTGCATCGGGCAGTGAATACTCCAATGAACCCGGTGCATCGTCACAAAAGCGATTAGTGAGATTGACAAGCCACGAGAATAACAATGCCCCCGACCATCATAATAAGAATAATTGGAATCCTGTGGGTGGCGGCGCGTACCCTGAGCTGTATCGCCACAAGCTCACTTGCCCTATTCATCGAAATACTAACCAACGAATAATAACCATGAGATCGATGCAATTTATTATTAGAACACACTTGCCTAGTGGTCTCGAAATTTCCACTAGCCAACGAATGTAGCTCTGGAGAGATATATCTTCCAGAGCCACATCCATGCTACAACTCAAAGAAAAACGTTGTTTAGACAGGACAAATGCGGTTATAAATTATTGGAAGAGCAAAATCATGTGCAACTAACTAAGCTTTGCAATGAAACTAACATTTCAGTTGAGCTTCCTCCTAGTCCACTTTATCACACCACTAGCAATTGCTATAAATAGTGCTAGGCAAAAACATCAGAAGTAAACCCGCAGGCTATGAAAGTAATTGCCGCACTTTGCGTCTCAAAACTCAGGATTTGCTTTCACGAATTCAGACTTTGAGAATCTCAGCTCAGCTAATCACTTTTGACACTACACCTGCACCGACTGTCCTACCTCCCTCTCTCAAGGCAAATCTTTGTCCTGTCGAACATTGATTAATAAGAAGCTCAATGAGAAATCATATTCCAAGTTCTCGGCTACAATGAAAATCACAACGAATAGTAAAATTGAAACATGAGTTCCACATACCTGCTTCAAGCGGAACTGATGAAATAAGCTCGAAAACTGCCGTCACATTGTCTCCGGGCATAACCATCTTAACTTCTTCAGGTAGTTCAACTTTTCCCGTGACATCTGCAGTTCTCAAGTAAAACTGAGGCCTGTAATTTGAAAAGAAGGCAGTGTGGCGTCCACCTTCATCTTTTGTTAGGACGTATATTTCTGCTTCAAATCTCTTGTATGTTTTGACACTACCAGGTTTCGCAATGACCTATTCAAAGAGAGGAAACTAATCACTTTCTCTCCAAAGCATATCCTCAATAACGTCACATCTGATTGTTTATATCCTACTTTGACGAAAGTAATTCTACACATTTAGAGCTAAGTACAAGCCTCGACATCATTTCTAAATCGCCCATCTGTAGGTCACACATACAATAATGGCAACAATATATAGCCATCACTAGAGCATAACAAGAATGTATGCTACATCACTTAACTTATCAATTAAAACTCCAGGTTAAATAATTTAAGCCCAATTACTTACCTGACCACGCTGCACATCATCCCGCTTCAAACCACGAAGAAGGAGGCCAACATTGTCACCAGCCTGCAATTTGACAGGATGTATCAGAAACATTGCTGCATAAGGTTCTCCAGAGGTCTGGAAAGAACCGGAACCTCACCTGTCCCTGATCCAACAACTTCTTGAACATCTCAACACCAGTCACTGTAGTTTTCAGAGGGGCACCCTACACAAAAAGCTTAGCATCAGGCTCAAACTTTCCTCTTACTGATTGATGAGATGAGGTCAATTTAAGCACAATCACCCATGATATGTCATACTGACATAAAATAGCTCTAGAATAGATGAAGAAGGAGAAGATTTATCCTGATTTTCACCTGCATTAAACCCAAAATCTCAACTTCATCACCAACTTTAACAATTCCCTGTTCAACACGGCCAGTTGCAACAGTCCCACGTCCCTGAAACACAACCAGAGTTGCAAGATTAGCAAACAGTAACACTTCCCCTTTTGGTGGCATAGAAAGGGAATTCAAGACCAAAAGCATCTATGCTGAAAAAGAGTGAGTACTGTGATCTTAACGGCCAGCTAAATAGGTGAAAGAAATGAGCAGCATCTTCTTTCAAATGTTCAAAGTGCACAAACATAATTCATGGTGGGGGTTTGGGTTTAAAATATTTATAAATGTAGTCTCTTGTAAAGATGTAAGACAACATCAAACAATATTATGTCGATGACAAGTGAACTTCTACTTCACCTGGATTGAGAAAACGTCTTCAATTGGCATGAGGAAAGGTTTATCAAGTTGACGCACAGGATCAGGAATGTACTCATCAACAGCCTCCATCAACTTCAAAATAGCTTTCTTGCCTATGTCTTCATTTGTCCCCTGTAAAGCGGACAATGCCGAACCACGGACAATAGGAATTTCATCCCCAGGGAACTTGTAGAAGCTAAGAAGCTCTGGAAAACATTGAAGTTCATGTAAAACCTTTCTAGCTCAACAACAGAAAAGAGTAGATATCCAACAAGAGAACTTCCATAAGCACCCTACCCCTAAGTTCCATTTCAACAAGCTCCAAGAGCTCTGGATCATCAACAGCATCGACCTTATTTAAGAAACACACAAGAGATGGCACCCCAACCTGCTCAATGCAATAACAAATGCTTATTATTCATACTGCTGCTCAAGAAATATTAAATGACACACATGCTCAAAATCTGCTGGATATGTATACAGCTTTTACAAGCAAAATACAGACCTGACGTGCCAAAAGAATATGCTCCTTTGTCTGAGGCATGGGACCATCAGGGGCAGATACAACAAGAATACCACCATCCATTTGAGCAGCTCCAGTTATCATGTTCTACAAGATGAAAACAACTTGTTGAATATTGCAAGGAATAATGGCAAACACAAAATTCCCATCTATAAATTAATATATCAAATAGTCAACAATATTGACATTAAAACCATTCTCTCTCTAGTACAACCAAAAAACACATTGAACTTATATGAGATATATCCTTGCTGAAAAAGTAACCTCTCATAGCTCTCACACTTAACCAAATTCATTCCAACCGAAAAGTTCGGTCCATTCACATCTTACTTTAACGTAATCAGCATGTCCTGGGCAATCGACATGTGCATAGTGTCGCTTGGCGGTCTCATACTCTACGTGGGCCTGCAAAATCATGTCCAATGTTAAACAGACAGCATGCAGTTTATAAATAAAAAAACTGCAAAGTAAATCAAGATGCATAAAAGAGCTCAAATCATGCCCGTAAATTAAGCAAGCAGTTGATATCTTACTGTCGCAATAGTAATCCCTCTTTTCTTCTCTTCTGGAGCCTTGTCGATTTCATCAAAGGCAACAGCTTTTGCTTTTCCTTCTTCTGCCAGCACCTAAACATACCATTGTCGAAAAACTTAGGCCACTTCTCATCTTTATGATTCGAGGCTTTCAAAATCAATCTTTAAATAAACAAAGGAGAAATGTGAAAGAGGATGACATAAGCAATTCCACCCAACCCACCTTTGTAATTGCAGCAGTAAGCGTAGTTTTTCCATGATCGACATGGCCAATTGTACCCACATTTACATGAGGTTTTCTGTAGGAAAAGAAAATTATAAAAGTAAATTCAAGCTGTACTGCAAAAAAATCTAACAGCTCATCTTTCTCCTCTCATCACTGAAAAATGCCCGCAGCATATTTTTTACCAAGAACATATTTTGATATTGATAGCTAAGACAGTGAAAAGGAAAACAGACAATATCGTAATGGAAATAACTTCTAAGCAGGGCAAGAGTTGTGTTTCTGAGGAATTTAAAAGCAGGTCACAAAAATAATGATAAAGCACTGTAGGTAAGTCGATTTATGTCAAGTGAATCAGCTAAAGAAGATCAAACAACACACAGACAATAAAGCCATTCCGCATTCAAATTTATGCACTAAAATCCCAATATCGTGGTCTGCCATTAACAGGTCTCCACTGTGAGGATCAGCCATATTTCTCCCTCGAAGATGATAGCAGCACGCACACTAGTTGCCATTCAATAACCTCAGTACACATTCAAGCTCACTGTTCCCAGTGTAATACATACTTGTACCTAAACGAATTCACCAAACACTCTGTCGCCCCAACATCATCCCGACCTCTAACCATGGACAAGAAGATTAAAGTCTAGCACTTCCACCAATTGCTTCCATTTTCTTAAAAAAAAACAATCATCCTTTCCTTACCCTTTTCCTATCATTTTCTTCCCTTCTCGCAAAGCATAAACAAAAGAAGCTTCTTTTTCAACCAGGCCAAGTCAAGATCCCTATTGTTCAACAACGGTCATTCTCTTGCAGAATGTCAAGGAGAGAGATTTACAAGTTCCATCGAAACAGAAGGACAAGCTCCAGAACAAACGAACAAACCATGACGAAGATAAAATAACATCCCCCAGATTGCGAAAGAAACGGGCAAATGGAGAGCGCGAAACTCACGTCCGGGTGAAGGTGGCCATGGATCTCCACCACGGGGGCGAGGCGCCGGACCGGTGGCCATCGGCGGGGAGCGAATCGGCGATTGAGCGGCCGGCGACGATCCCCCGGCAGCAGGAGTAGATTCGGGGGGGAAGCGGCGAGAGGTGCGTCGGACTGCGGCGTCTCAGGGCAGCGGTCGCCATTGAAATCGGCGGAGCGAGAGAGGGACGGAGAGAGCGCGACGGCGTGCGGCGGAGCAGCGAGAGGGGTTTTAGCTGGGGGAGTGGCTCCGCTCTCTCCTCCTCGTTTTGCTTTTTGCCTATGCTGCTGCTTCGGAGGGTTTAAGGGGGAGAGAGAGAAAGAGACCAAGTTTGTCCAGGAAATTACGGAATTGCCTTTGATTTTTTTACTTAAATAAAAAAAATTTAGATTAATACCACGAAAAACTTCACACCGGTACATTCGTGATAAATTTACCCCAAACTAACTTTTTGACCATCAAAAACTTCAAACTCGTGCACCTGTGATGAATTTACCACCTTACCACCCGGTAGTTTCTGTTAAATTTTACCGTCAATTGTTGTGTTAGATGGTACATGATAATTGACGAGTGTACTATAATTTGGGATTTTTTGTGATATTAATTCAATTTAACAAAAACTAACAGAAGGTAAATTTGTTGCAAGTGTACCAGTTTTGTATTTTTTGTGATCAAAAAATTGATTTACGTTAAATTTGTCACAGATGTAGCAGTTTGGAGTTTTTCGTAGTATTAATCCAAAATATTCTGACTCACTTTTTTCTATTCAATAATGCCCTGAACTTTCATAATGTTGATAGATATTTTTTTTTGGTCGGAATTGATAGTTCGCCTATAATGTTTTCTAATTTAAATATTATACAGATCTTTGAATTTGTTTTTAACTTTTCGTTAACGGTAAATAAATGGCCCTAATTTCTTACTTTCTTACTCTTTTTCTTGCTAAAATGAACAATGCGTAAGGTACAATTAGCTTCCGGAAAAGTAAGAATTAGGTAAGAACATGGTCAATTGGTCACGAGCAGTTGGAAAAAATTAATTTTTATGGGACTTGCATGGATTTGCCTATGATTAACGATTTTGATAGATCGTTCTATGTAGATCCAACTCCCAAAAAAAATAATCGGCACTGGTTTTTGAATTACTTAATATATCCATTTATTGAATAAATTTCGATATACCTAATATAATTGTTCTCGATATTTGTTTTTCCTTTTTCTAATAGAATTGCCCTTTTTGGTTTGACCACTTGGGCTTCCACTTGCTCAACATGCTCTATTAATTCCATTAAAAAAAACACTTTTCTGAAAATCAGGTTGTCAAAAGGCATATCCCACAACATATTTCTTAACACATTTTAATGCATAAAATCCAAGTCTAACGTATGAAAACTATGTATGTAAACCGTACTTAGTAGTCTTTTCCCTCTAGTTAAGCGAACCTAAAACTGGCGAGATAGGAACATTTCCATTATTCGAATGTAAACACAACCATGTCAATCGGACAATTAAAGGAAAACAAGCAAAATAACAAACATAGAGAACGAACATTAGAGAGCATCGAGAAGCTCGGCTTAGTATGATAGACAACCATTTTTAAGGGGGGGAAAAATTCAATCTCTTTGGAAATGAATCCGCAATGCATATAAAATCAATCTTTCCCGATAAATTCTATCTAAAATGTGACGGGTAATTCTTTTTAATCGGAAAAAACCCAAGCGAGTTTGATCAATGTCTTAATTTCTTTGAGGGTTGGACAAAATGATATTAATTCAGTGACAACCCAAATAATAGATGATTATAAATTTTTCAGAGCCTGTTTTTCATGTCATGTTCCTTAAACAGTAGCGACTCCATTTGCTATGTGATCGTGGATTTTTGCTATATGCAGCGAATGAATATGTAAAATGTAAAATTACATGCAAATAGTGTGGCAGATTGATGTAGCAAATAAAGGCAATGCATGCGAATGACATGGTGTGTGTGACCACGACGTAATGACTAAAAATGACATATGACGTGTGAAGAATAGCACGGGGCCTTTGCTCACACATCTGCAACAATCGACACTGCACAAGTCCAGGCTAGGCCTACCTCCATCCCTAGAGGAGCCGTAAGAGGCGAACGCTCCATGCACAATCTTGAACGGGCCTTTACTTCCTAACAAGCAAGTCGGATTTGGAGCTTCCGAGGACAAATTAACAGTCATCGGTTATATGTGCACGGCGTTAAGATGCCTTATAATTTCCCGATATCATACATTATGTATTACGACCCATGAGTAAGCCAGCATCACGACAACATAATTTAATTGAACATTCAAGTATTCAAGTAAGCAATATCACGATACGTTATATTGAGAAATTTTCTAGCATCATTTCAACTTTACAATGGTCTATTTGTAATGGCTATTTTAATTTCAGTCTCATCATGGCATCCCACGATCTAGAAATATGCATTTCTAAGTATTAAATGGGACATTATGGTGATTTGGTCGTGGAAAACTCACTTGATGGTGTGGTAGAGAGATTCATACCTATTAAATACCGAAAAACGCGGAGAGAATTCATGAAAAACAAAGGGTTAATACCACGAAAAACCCTAAACTGGTACACTTATGACACATTTACCCCAAACTATTTTTTTGACCATAAAAAACCCCAAACTGGTACACCTGTGACAATTTTACCACGAACTATTTTTTTGACTATCAAAAATCCCAAACTGGTACATCTGTGACAATTTTACCCTGAACTTACCACAAAAAATCTCAAACTGGTACATATGTGACAATTTTACCATGAATTAAAATTTTAATATTATTTTTTATTTTTTTCGAATTTTTATTTATTTATTTATTTTTTTCCTTTTATTTTTTTTTCTTTATCTTCAACCTTTGGCCGGTGGCCGGTCCGGCGACCGGCCAGAGGCGGAAGCCGGCGAGGGCCGCCCTAGCCGGCATCCGGCGAGGGCCGTCCTCGCCAGATCCGGCGAGGGCGACCCTCGCCGATATCGGGCGAGGGCTGCCCTCGCCTGTGTCGAGTGAGGGCCGCCCTCGCCAGCGTCGGGCGAAGGCTGTCCTCGCTCGCCCAGGGCAAGGGCGATCCTCGCCCGACTTTCGGGCGAGGCTGCCCTCGCCGGATACGGCGAGGGCGACCCTCGCCTGCGTCGGCGCGGCGGCCCTTCGCACGGGCGGGCGAGGACGGCCCTAGCTTTGAGTCGGGCGAGGTCGCCCTCGCTAGATCCGGCGAGGTCGCCCTTTGCCGAGTCGAGCGAGGGCGGCCCTCGCCAGCGGCTGCCGAGGGCGGCCCTCGCCGGCTTTCGCCTCTGGCCGGTCGCCGGATCGGCGACCGGCTAGAGGTTGAAGTGAAGAAAAAAAAAAGGGTTAATACCACGAAAAACCCTAAACTGGTACACTTGTGACATATTTACCCCAAACTATTTTTTTGACCATAAAAAACCCCAAACTGGTACACCTGTGACAATTTTACCTCGAACATACCCAAAAAACCCCAAACTGGTACATATGTGACAATTTTACCCCAACTAATTTTTAATATTATTTTTTTGAATTTTTTTTCTTTTTTCTTTTTTCTTTTTTCTTTTCTTTTCTTTTTTTTTTCTTCACTTCAACCTCTGGCCGGCAAGGGCCGCCCTCGCTCGACTCGGCAAGGGCGACCCTCACCGGATCTAGCGAGGGCCGCCCTCGCCCGACTCAGGCGAGGGCCGTCCTCGCCCGCCCAGGCGAGGGCCGTCCTCGCCCGCCCAGGCGATGGCTGCCTCGCCGAAGCCGGCGAGGCGGCGACCTGCGCCCGAGTCGGGCGAGGGGGTCGCCGCAGCCGCGAGGTCCCGAGCAAGGGTGGCCCTCGCCCAGATCGTGAGGCCCTCGCCGATGCGGCGAGGCGCCTCACTGAGTCGGGCGAGGATCGCCCTTGCCCTGGGCGGGCGAGGACGGCTTTCGCCCGAGGCCAGCCACGATGCGCGGCCCTCGCCGCGATGAGCGAGGGCAGCCTCGCCCGATATCGGCGAAGGTCGCCTCTCGCCGGATCCGAGGCGAGGACGGCCTCGCCCAGACGCGCGGCGAGGGCGGCCCTCGTCGGCTTCCGCCTGGCCGTGCCAGGACCGGCGACCGGCGAGGTTGAAGATAAAGAAAAAACAATAAAAAAAGGAAAAAAATAATTAAATATTCGAAAAAAAATAAAAAATAATATTAAAATTTTAATTCAGGGTAAAATTGTCACATATGTACCAGTTTGGGGTTTTTTGTGGTAAGTTCAGGGTAAAATTGTCACAGATGTACCAGTTTGGGGTTTTTGATGGTCAAAAAAATAGTTCGGGGTAAAATTGTAACAGGTATACCAGTTTGGGGTTTTTTATGGTCAAAAAAATAGTTTGGGGTAAATGTGTACCAGTTTAGGGTTTTTCGTGGTATTAACCCAAAAACAAAATAAGTATTATTATTATTGTAATGAATTATGAAAGACTTGCATATTTTCGAAGTATTTCTGTCCACCACATAACCATTGTTCAAGAATCGATCTTGCCGCATATAAAAATCAAAACATAGTAAATGCTAGATTAATCTCAAAAGATTTTCTTGCGAACTTTTGATTTTCTTGACGAAACTCTTACACTTCTATTCGGAAAAGAAAGTCTAATATTAGTGTAATAACTATGCATAAAGTCTCTTTTAACTATAATATATAGATGGTTCATGGTTGTGATGCATGGACGGACCCTAAGAGGTTATAAGAATCGATTCCATGTAAGATCGTTGAAGGGTCCCCAAGATCGGATTAATAAGATTGAATCGAGTATTAAATCTTACAAATTCTTTAAAATGATATTTGAACATGCAAACCCTAGGAGACAAAGTTACCAATCACTCAAACGGAACGGTGCTCTCAACATGAAACTTAGTTTGCATAACCCTAATTCCAACTTTAAATATACAACAAAAATAAAGAAAATATGCCAAAAATAAAATGCAACACTTTTCTTGTTAAATAACGACAAAAGCTAATATTAGAAAACTAAGGGTCCATTTGTTTGAAGGAAAACTGTTTTCGAAAAATTGTTTTTCAATTTTTCAGTGCTTGGATAACGGAAAACTAATCGATAGATTGAAGGCCTCAATTCTATCTTTAATTATCGAGATAATGACACAAATGGTTTCTAAACTTTGGCTTAATATATAATGTGATTCCTGAATTCTTAATTTCTTCAATATGATCCCTAAACTTTACCCCAGTGTGCAATGTGG